CACAGCCTCTTCCTGGACCACGAGCTCCCAGAGGTGCGGGGTCCCCTGTCGCCGGGCGCCAGGGACGCCGCCGCGTGCCGCGTGCCGGTGCAGGACATGTGGTTCTCCGAGTACATGGAGTACATGGTGCTGGAGCTTGGGGAGGCCCTGCAGCCCGGTAGCCTCTATGAACTGCAGCTCCGCTTCACGGGTCCTGTGTTCAAGGAAACAAGGGAGGGGCTCTTCCTCAACTTGTACTCGGACCAGGGAGAGCGCAGGTAAGGGCCGGCCGACGGGGCCCTCGGCCTCCTCCCAGCGCCCCGAGGGGGCTGAGGGCCAGCAGCGCGTCCTGCCCAGGCCTTCCCCTTCTACGTACGTCTTCTTCCAGAGCCGCCTCCTTCTTCCTAAAACTTTACTTAGAATAAAGGCTGGGAGCCCAAGGCCCTTCTCCGCTTCGTGTCCCCCCTCTATCCTTGTTTGCCCAGGTTGTCCCTTTCGGTGACCCTTTGAGGTCGCGGTATCTCAGAAGTTTATCGTTTTGTTCAGAAAGCCCCTTTCTTCTCCAGCTCCGAATTTCTTCACCCCTATTACTCAAAGCTTGGTGCTTTCGCCAATAGCAGTTATAGTGCCTGGTTATATGTTGGAAAGGCAGACTCTAAGACCCGGTCCTTACAACGGATTAGAATCTGAATTTTAAGGAGACCTCGTCACCGCCCTTCAGTTCTCTGAGCACTGTAGCTGTTGGGTCCGAGCGCATCCTGCTCTGGTTTGGGGACGCGCTCTCACCGCTGCTCCGGCAGCAGTGTCCACGCGGGACTGTTTCCGTGTCCAGGTAAGGCTAAGGCTCTCCAAACGTCGGGGTCGTGTTTGGACATCCTCTCTCACCCTGACCGGGCCGCCTCTCCTTGGCTGGCTTGTGGGGGACCCGCTGTCTGCTCTGCCTGTGAGTCCCTGCAGCGTATCAGAGCCCGCGCGTCTGGGATTTCTCTGCTGAGAGAAAAAAAGTGGTGGCGGGGTGGCGTTGGGTCCAGAGATCTGCCATCTGGGTCTGCAAGGCCAGGCCAGGGAATGTACATATATTCTTTTTTTACACTCCTCGTGTGAAGTATTGTCTCTCATAAGGGGTGTTTCCACTCCCAGATCAAGAATTGCCTTTCTCTCCGCTACTGAAATCCAGTGGACGCTGAGAAATGGCTTATATAGAAGATAACAAAAAAGTGTGTGTGTGTGTGTGTGTGTGTGTGTGTGTGTTGTGGTTTTGTTTCTTAAACAGGCTGTTCTTTCCTTCACATGGTAGTGTGGTGCGAAATTGCGGTTTACACAACTGCATGTTCTTTGCCCTTATTATTAGAGAAAATGTTCTTGGAGGGGGGAAAACCTGACTAAATTACCCCGTAAACTATCTCTTACAATTTTCCCCTGAAGTTTCAAGGGTTTTAAGAAAGTTTAATGCACTGCTTTAAAGGGTGTGTGATCAGTAACTTTTATTTTTCAAGACCACATGTTTAGTTTTTCTCTTTCAAAATTACATCAGTCCTTGAAATATAGTTTGAAATTTCTTAGTATTTGTTACCCAACATGTACACTGAAAACCTTTTCAACCGAGAGGTGCAAGATCTTTTCAAAGAAACAAAAAGGGACCCTTTGCATCCATATCTGATAGTTTTCTACTGTTGGTTAGTAAATCTTATGTTCGTCCATTTCTTCCTTCTTCTTACTGTAGCGTGATTGTGACCCAGACAAAGCAACAGACAAAGTAAAGGAAAGTACCTTTGCATTTTTCTGTTGCACCAGATAAACCTAACACTAACAGGAAATCATATTTCAGGACATTAAAACCAAGGTAGAGTTCCAAAATTGTGGCATTTTGGGAGGGCTGTTGCCAGGAAGTTGTCCCTTGGGTCTTGGGTTCTGAAATCACAAGGAAAAGATATCTGTAGTTAAATTTGAAGCCTAGGTCACAAAGAACTTGGACAAAATATAAGAATTGTTCACTTTTAAGGTGTTGTGAGAATGGAATGAGAAAGGAGGTGCTGACACTGACAGCTTGGACAGTGGTACCTGCTACCATTAGGTCAAGTTATCCTTAGAAGTAGCTCCTAGTTATCTAAACATGGGCTCTGCCAAGTTCCCAATCCATGAGTCAGTCAGAGATTTCCAGGTGGAAAGAATCCAGGGGTTGAGGGGTGTAGAACTTTAGTTTTGCAAGCTGGAAAGAGTTCTGGACATTATTTGCACAACAATATGAATGAACTTAACACTATTGAATTACTGGGGTTGTTTTTGTTTTTGTTTAACTGGGATCAAACTCTGGATCTTGCACTTGCCAGGCAGGTACATTGCCACTGACCTAAATCTCCAGCCGTTGAATTATACACTTTAAAACGGTTAAGATCAAGCTGGTCATGGTGGCGCACGCCTGTAATCCCAGCACTCGGGAGGCTGAGGTAGGAGGATCCCTATGAGTTTGAGACCAGCCTGAGCTACATAGTGAGTTCCAGGTCAGTCTCAACTACATAGTGAGACCCTGTCTCAAAAAAAAAAAAAAAA